TAAAGGTTCGGGGGAGACAGCCCAGCGGGAGGAGGAGTGAGGCTACCAGAGGATCCAACCCAGGTACCAAAACCAAAAGCAAACCGTTGGCTGGCCGAGAACGGGACCAACCCGCCGATTTCTTGGTCACCGAACACGAACGAGAAACCATAAATATAGGGGTATACCAACCACTACACAGGCTTTGTGACGTATAATGTGGAGTGGGCGGAGCCACACCAAACCACCGTGAGTTTCAAGAGGAATGATCTGAGCTACAGTGCACGCAACCAGCAAGGTAGTCTCATACCAAAGATAAGCACTCCATCAACACTCATTAGTGGGCAGGATTGAGCACACCCCGGAACTAAGGGCTGGGCAGATGGACTGAGTGGGCAGAGATTGTACCTGCTGAAAAGCCGTTGTGACTATGAGTCACCCAGTAGCGCTCCCATGGGCTGACTCCGCCATGCCCCAGAAGGTCAGTGGGGGTGTGGGACGGGCTAAAGAGGCTCGAAGAGAAGGCCCGTAGGCATGCAGCTGATCGACAGGATGTATCACCCCATACCAGGGGACCAGACAACAGCAGGGCTTCATTTTAATAAATACGAGGAGAACTAAAAATCGCTCTCCTTAATTCACTTTGATTTAAGGAGAGTGATTAAAAATTGCTCTCCTTAAATCAACAAAGTGAATTAAGGGGAGCGATTTGCTCTCGCTTACAAAAACCAAGTTAATGTTAAATCAATTGTAATTCTGTCCCCGGGACTTTCGAAAATGTAGCGGGGACGTACCCGGGGATGTCAAAAAAACAAAGTGCCCCATCGGCCGGGGCGATAACGGGGACTTGCCCGGGGTTGTACAATGGCTGCCCTGCTGACCCGGGGTGATAGCAGGGACTTGGCGGGGGTTGTACAATTTGTTAAACCGTCTATTGGTAAAATTTTATAGCACTGAGCTTCGATATGAAATACAAAGTGTTTCTCCTACCCTGACAGATGAAAACCTGACAAAGATGATGCCTCATTTTGAGATCAGTGCATGCAAAATACAGACCTTTCTTTTTTTACAAACATTGTCGCCACTTTCTATGGACTGCTAAATGATTAAAACGTGTAATTTAATCTTTCAACCAAGTAGCACTGGTCACGAGTCTTTTGTTTTGGTGATACATTTCAAATCATTGGTTATCTTCTAGATCAATCTTCAATAAACGAATGAAGTGTTGTGATAATTGTTAATTGTCTCATGTGCTGGCCATGGCCACACGTACATAAAGAGCATTTCAATTGGTCAATTGGTCTCTACACAGCGCGTAACAAATTTTGCAATTGGATGAATTTCTATAATTATTTTTGAGATGTCTGCAAAGAAAGATTGTAACGATTTGGGTCGTCGGCTCCCTGATTCCGGTGCTTCAGATATGCAGACGAATGTTTTGCCAAAGTTTGGGATAATTATAGCAGCTGCCCCTTGCTTTGCTTTATTTCGGTGGCATTTTACCTGCACTTACGGCGATTGACTCGATGTCATCTTAGCAATGACCCAGAAGAGTATGGGACTTTTAGAAATTAATTTATTAATGATTAATTTTTCATTGTACGGTTGTTGTGACACAACCCCGCATGCTGGGGCATGTCATAACTTGAATGCCCAGCCAGGGAATACAAAAAGGTGCCCCGCCCTGGCCTGGCAAATTACGGGGACTTGGCCAGGACTATCACGATGGCCCTGTTTTATCTGCCCCACTAAGTCCCCGCTAGTCCCGGGTCCCCTGGGGCCGGGATTACAATTGACAGGTGCATAACTTGACTAGTCTCCTCACTCGCCCGCCAATCCATTTCACCACTACAGGGGCTCTGAATTTACTGCGCATGTGCATCCTTTCTTTTTGGTATTTTAAAACATATTGCACATCCACTGCAGACTGTATTCATCATCCCTTCCTGCGCTCACAATACTACTTTGACCACTGCATTTTTGTATAGAACACCGGGCACATTACCCGCCAGAGACTTTTTCTTTCCTGTGGCATACTTTCTGTTCTCGACAAGCGAACATTGTTCTCACGTTCAAACCACACGAACACGCAACAGGATCACACACCATCCTCCAGCCACGACAGGGTTTTTCACAAACTCACTTCTGCTGTTCACAAACGGCCGAGAACGTCACGGTAGCGCCTGAACTCGACCCGTTCTGGGAGAGAGGTCGGCCGGGCGCGGCCACGTGCGTCCATGGAATTCCATAGGTTTGCCCACACGCACTAGGCCCGCACACATGCGCTATCACGTTAGTGTGTTGCGACGCGGGATTCATCAAGCACGCGCGTACAACTCAAAGACTTTGATCCCCAGCCCTTGTGTTTAAATACATTCAATTTTTGGACTCGTTTGCTACTGTCGACCCAACGAGAGTCAAGGGGCTTGTCTTAAATCAACATCTGCTGGTTTGAAATTTTTAAGGAGCGCTTTTTTTTGCTCTCCTTGGAAAACATTAAGGAGCGCAGAGGAGCGCGAGTGTGATCACGCTCTTTTAAAATGAAAAAATGCTGCGAGTTGTGAAGAAACTCAAAGAGCGCACTCGCAATGCAGGTATCGCACGGTCATACCCCGAACCGACTGGAAGGATATAGTAAAGCTACGCACTGTCCTATTTCCGAGGTTAGCAAGGACCAAAAACGCTGCACAACTGTCCTTACCAACCAGGCCCACGAACGGGCAAATACTGTACTCGGAGCGGGGTTAGAAGCACAACTCTGACATTTTCCTTCTCTGAGCTAATCTAATGCACAAAAAGAGAGAGAGAGAAGCACAGCGAAAGAAATGCCGAAATCTCTGGCAAAACCCAACAGGAATAAGAACAAAAAAATTCAGAATAACAAGACAACCACTTTCAAGAAATTTTTTTGCTTTATTTTGAACAAATAAACAAGGTCATCGAGAAATGACACCAAAACCACAGGTAAGGAAGAAAAAATTCTCGAAATTTTCAGAGCCGGACAAAAACACGTCCGATAGTAATGGTGCTAAGAAAAAGAGAAAGAACATGGCAGCTGCCTTTGCGGGAGTCAAGCGAGTGAGGGCGTACTGCTGGTGATCAAGAATTTAGCGAATGGAAGTAATGCATATGTATTGGTAATCTGTGTAGGTTGCAAGCAGTAGACTTAAAGCTTAGTATTGGTATTCTGCTTTTTCATCAAGTCCTTCCTGTGCCAGCGTTGCTGGTAACTGCATTATTGACAGCATCTTTTTCTGAAAGTTCAAGCTAAAATTGACATGGCAAACCCACTTTAGTGCTGCTGATGTCATAAACAAGATTATTCTCATCATAGTAGTGACAAGAACTGATCATCAGTGTTGTTGTTGGTAGAAAACACAACAACACTCAGACTCCAAGGCTCAGAGGCCTCATTACTGTGTATGTACTACAGCAGCAATCTTAACTATTCCAACTCCCAAGTTCTATGTCACAATTTTAAGGAATGGCTAAATGATACCGACAACTTTTGTTTTTTTTGTTTGTCTTCCAGAAAGTGTGCAAGTTTTTCTCGCATTCAAAGTAAAGACACCTTGTCTGTGTGATATATATGGGTCTACTCCACAACATAAGACATATTGCAGAGAAAAAACTCCAACCTGGATTGTACATGTAATCAAATAGGCACTGGGTAAAATATCCTTAAAGCAGCCCTTTCAGGGCAAAGTGCTACTCAATGAGAATTTAAGAGGTAAGATGTTCATGGTAACATATCATCCATGTATCCCGTCTCACTAACCGTAACACTCCTCAGTCCTCCAACAGGAGAAGGATTGAGGAGGGTTAGGGCTAAATATTGTACCAGTTCTCATACTATTCAGTGCAGCATATACTACAAGGCATATTGGTTTTGTAATCTATAGGGCATGCTGACGTCAATATAGATGAATGTAGTTTACTTCATCAAACGTTACAAACACTCAAAAGAAACAAAGGAGTTTTCCTGTTGTCAGTGGTAAGACCTCATTTTCATTCTGTCCTCTGCGGTAAGTACCTGCACTTCATTTAAATATGGAGAATATTATTTTACAGGACCAAAAGGAAATCACAGATTGTGCAGACTTCTATCACCTGCCAACCAAAAATTGCTCTTGGTACCCTAAATCTCTTTTCTCAACTTTCAAAAAAGACTTACTGAAGAAGAAATAACCTAGCATATATCATGCTGTGTCAATTTTTTTTCACAGAGAGTGAAACACTGAGAGCCTGTTTATTTCACCTGGATCTGAATCAGTGACCCAGAGCGGGTTCACTCTATCCAGAATGTGGGTTCTGGTGTCAGTGAACCATTGTCAGATCACCGATTGCGATCTGGATCCATGCAATACATAACACATGGTCTCTTCACCATTTGTCGCCGGGGTTTCCGGTGCCGGACACATATTCTTTACAAGCGTGGCTGGGGTCTCCGAAATCAGACACAGGGAACTGGGCCTCGTAGCAAAAGACCATACTCATAAAAAAGACAAGCCTGCTGGGCATTACCGACATTTTTTCACTCTCAATAGTGGAGATAATCCAGCCTTGTTTTGAAACAGTATATGACTGTTTTGGGGATTTAGCGTGAGTGAATTACCAACAGGGACAAAAGCTCTTCACCACCGCAGTGATGAGCCACACAGTACCGCTGCACGCTAATCTGGCCCTATTGAAAAGAGGTCAGCAGTACACTGTGCCAGTTGCATGAACAAAAGAAAATCACATAAACCACAAAATCTGGGCTCTTTTTACAATGCAGCAGGCTTGGCTGAAATACTCCTACATCAACAGATGTTGTCTGTCAGATTAGAGTAAAAACCAGATGGTCCTTCGTGTGGGTGTAAGTGTCCAGTAAATGAAGATAGGAATTTTTAAAGAATTTTGAAAACAGAAAAAAATGATAATTATCCCGGCCCAGCATCATCAACATTGATAACTACCACCGGCTTGAAGTGGTTAATGAAATGAAAATGAACCAGGAATCTTTGAAGACTTTACAATACCTGCTCATTAGCATCCTGCACAGCTTTCATCGTGACCTGCACAGGTTTCATGTTATGGAAGAACGTCTTCAATATCTTGCCTATCTGCCCATCCACATTTGTGCTTGTGTTCTCCTGGCTATTTGATGATTCCACATTATGGGACAAAGAACGCTCTCTGGGATGAATGTTTCGTGGATTTCCATAATTTGGATCTATGGAGAAATAATGCAAAACGTAATCTTCCATTAATTGTCTTCCTGGAATTGGTAAAAAAAATTGAATGTAAAATTCTTGTCTTGTACTGATGTCTTGTGGTTATACA